AAATCCAACGGATTTAATAGATTTTTACAGGAAGATGGCCAAACTACAACCCAGCCTTGTAATGGCAAGGATGTAGAAAAAATCAGCAACCATAGACAACAGGGACACGATACCAGTGTTGCCAACTAGACAAAACTAGGCAAAGTAGTCGAAACTACCAGGGTTGGGTCAGAAATACGGCAATAATATGCCAAATACTTTAGATCATATATACAGGGTGGTTCGAACAGCATATTCTGCAGATAAAAATAAGTTAAAAAGTTCGTATAAAATATGTCCTAAAATGCTTAGTTACGGAGATACAGGGTGTAGAAGTTTTCATTAGTATTTCGATTTTTTGTACATAATTTCTGAAGTAACGTCAATATTTGGATGAAAATTGGTCTCTGGGAGTTTTTTGACATGAGAAATTTGATTTTGATGTCAATATGGCTCCTACTTGTAGAGGGCGCCATCTACATGTTTTTAACTGATTTGAAGAGTAATTACTTTTCGTTTGTACCTGGATAAAACTACTGAGTAAGAAAATGTACATTTACAAAGGTCTCTTGGTAGAAATCGCTACGAGTAATTGTTCGCCAGATATTTGGAATCGAAATTATCAATACCTGTCATCATTGACATAAATTAAACATGTTATCTAAATAGTTATTAGACTGAAATCATAAATTTGAAATGTTTTTGTACCAAAAGTTCAACAGAAACTGTTTTATCATCATTTATTCGAGGAAAAATTTATGATTTAAAAAAAATAAAAAGTTCCCGAATTTATCATTGCAGTCAAATAAGTATCTATATATACCTTTGAATAAGAAGACTAAGGAAGGAGCATATCAAAAATCTTAGGTGCACCGCGATGGGCCTCAAATATGGCCGACTTAAATTCCGGTTTATCAGTGCCGTTCTAATTTTATTTAAAAAATGTAAAACTATGATGTAGGGTAGACGTGGGGTAGAATCAATAATTTGTTATTTTATTTTACGTTGTGAATAAATGTTGGTAGTTATTAAAATTGTTATAAAAATATATAATTCTAATAAAAATAGATAAGTTATAATAAGTATTTATTAACACAAACATCTGATACGCTACTGAAGCAGGTAAGTCAAATTAACGTATCAAAATTCTTTGACATCTGATCTTTGACAAGTAGTAAATAAAAGCTAAAATGCAAAAAATATATAATTTAGTTAATTTAAGTGAATTTCATAAATGATCGGTTTACTACACATATGTAAATTATATAGTCACTTACTAGCAAAAAGTTGTTCCACTCAATTTTTGCCGAGATCTACTGCACGCTACACAACCAACTCTTTTAGAGTCTTTTTCGATAAATTGCGATAATGTCACTGTTAATTTAAGTTCTGCCACAATTTCCATCTAGATTTACTACCTTTATACAACTATCAGTAGTAGAATAAATAATAAATAACATAAAATAAGCTCCGTCAAGAGTGACAAATCCACAAAATTTCAAATCAAATTCAAATGTGTCAAATGAATCGTCAAACAGAACTGTCAAGGATCCCCACCCTAGAGAGCTTTTTCCGCCCACCATGCATGAATACATGGATAAGATTATGCTCCTTCCTTAGTCTTCTTATTCAAAGATATATACTCATGTTTATTTTATTGTCAATAATGACATGTATTGAATATTTCCATTTTAAATATTTTGAGAACGGTTGCTCGTCGCGATTTTTACCAAGAGACAATTTTTACGTAGAAAATTACGAAAATGTACATTTTTTCATTCAGTAGTTTTGTACAGGTACGGACGAAAAGTTATTACTCTTCATAACAGTTAAAACACATGTAGGTGGCGACACTACAAATAGGAGTCATATTGACATCAAAATCAAATTTATCATGTCAAAAAACTCCTAACCGTCAATTTTCATCCAAACGTTACCTCAGAAATAATTTGGAAGAAATCAAAATAAAAATAAAACCTCTACACCCTGTATCTCCGAAACTAAGCATTTTAGGACATACATTTATACGAACTTTTCTACTTATTTTTATCTGCAGAATATGCTGCCGAAGTTTCCGGAATACAGTTCGGACCACCCTGTATAAAAAAAAAAACATGTAACGAATTAAAAACGTTACATGGTGATGTGCAATTTGTTTCTACAAAGGGTAGTTTGCAGTTGCACTGTATCTATACCTATATGTAAGTCGATCTTCGATGATAATCCGTATTAAAGGCCCCATCAAAAGTTTTTAGGATTTTTTAAAACACCCCAATGTGTTTAAGATACTCGAAATAAAAGAAAAACAATGAGTCCACTGAACAGAAATAAGGGGAGAGGAATTAACAGCGATATAAAAGCTTTTGTGTTATCTGTTCTTTTTTTCTTAGTGTATTTAAGAACGGTTGAAGACACATAATGGAAGGAAAAACATGCTATAATGTTTACTTGCAATAAAAGCTTCGGGGATTACAAGGAACAAAAGTATTTAATTTTTGCGGAGGAAGACAAGAAAAATAAGGGAATTTAAAATCGTAAATAAAGATAAGTTAAATCAATTATGGAAAATCTGAAAACAATATTTTATTTATAATCGGCTTACTAAGTCGTTTTACCATTCTTTGTTTAAAAATTTATCAGAATTTAACAGATCTAAACGACAAAGACTCTTTTGTTTCACAGGGTGTTAAACTCTACATATATTATATCAAGTCCTATTATTTGATCTTTTTGAATAATGGTCCACCCTGAGGTGAGTTTGGTTTGGTTTGGTTTGGTTTGGTTTGGCCAAAGACTCTTTTGTTTCACAGGGTGTTAAACTCTACATATATTATATCAAGTCCTATTATTTGATCTTTTTGAATAATGGTCCACCCTGATGTGAGTTTTAAATAAGTACAAATATTTTTAGAGGTAGTATACAGGGTGGTCCGAACTGTATTCAGGAAACTTCGGCAGCATATTTTGTGTATAAAAATAAGTAAAAAAGTTCGTATGTCCTAAAATGGCTTAGTTTCGGAGAGACAGGGCGTAGAAGTTTCATTTTCATTTCGATTTTTTCCAAATAGTTTCTGAAGTAACATCAATATAGATGAAAATTGGCATCTGGGAGTTTTTTGACATGAGAAATTTGATTTTGATGTCAATATGACTCTTACTTGTAGAGGGCGCCACCTACATATTTTTTAACCGGTATGAAGAGTAATAACCTTTCGTCTATACCTGTATAAAATTACTGAGTAAAAAATATACATTTACGATGTTTTTTACTTAAAAAAAAATCTCTTGGTAAAAGTCGCTACGAGTAATGGTTCTCGAGATATTTGGAATGGAAATTATCGATACCTGGCATCTTTGACATAAATTAATTATGTTGACTAAATAGTTATTAGACTGAAATAATAAATTTGAAAGGTTTTTGTGTCAAAAGTTCAACAAAAACTGTTTTATCATCATTTTTTCGCACAAAAATTTATGATTAATATAAAAAAATAAAAATTTCCCAAATTTAATATTTCACTCAAATATCTACTCAACGAATTTATTTTTTGTCAATAATGGCATAATGCCATGTATTTGTCGACTATTTCCGTTCTAAATAACTTGAGAACGGTTGCTCATAGCGATTTTTACCAACATACGTTTTTTACGTAAAAAGTCACTGAAATGTATATTTTTCCACTCGGTAGTTTTATACAGGTACGGACGAAAAGTTATTACTCTTTAAAACAGTTAAAACATATGTGGGTGTCGCCCCCTACAAATAGGAGTCATATTGACATTAAAATCAAATTTCTCATGTCAAAAAACTCCCAGATACCAATTTTCATCCAAATATTGACGTTGCTTCAGAAATTATTTGGAAAAAATCCTAATAAACACGAAAATTTTAGACCCTCCATCTCCGAAACTAAGCATTTTGGGACATACATTTTTATACGAACTTTTTTACTTATTTTTATCTGCAAAATATGCTGCCGAAGTTTCCTGAATACAGTTCGGACCACCCTGTATTTCGACCCCAGAAACACGTACATGAGATTCTTTTCTCGAAAAAAAAAAAATTGAAAATTTGGAATTTTTTGAAAAAAATTTGGACATTTTTTAAATTATGTGTTAAAAAACATAACATCTTCATAATATGGCAACATAGGTAGTAAATTAAATTTACAAGAAAGAAACCCCAGAAAAGATCCAGCGGTTCTAAACATTTAAGCGAAATTTTTCTTTAAATTTCAAAGTGAAATATCTGTGTTATTTTGGACTTATTTGAAAAACTGTAAAGAGAAAATATGTTTTTTATCGAAATCTACAAGCCCTGTATATATTTGCACTTATTTAAGACTCGCCCTGTATAATACCGTTAAGCTATCTTTCACTTCAATTTTGTACAAATTTGCACCTAAAAGGTACAGCACCATTCGTCATCACATGTTTATTTATTTACTTACATATTTATCTAGTTTATTTACTTAGATAATAAATAAAATTTGATTGATTAGATATTGATCATTGTAGTTTCCCCTTGGCTTAAGGAAACAAATAAACCATCGACGAAATAAAATGTTCAGTGGACTGTATACTTTCGGTTTATTGTCACTTGAAATTACAAACTTTGAGACAACTAACTAAACAAAAATTATTGTCTCCTTATAAAACATCGAGTCGAAATTAAAAAAAACAAAGACGACGCGTTTGGTCTAACGTCTTGTGCTCGACTCCTGCCTGGGGGCCTCGCTCTTCTTCGGCTACCGCCGCAATGCGACGATGTATGGAGACGGCGCAGTTGCCACGTATAGCACAAATAATTAGAGACTGCGCAGTTGCCACGTATAGCACAAATAATTATTCACATTGCCCCCCGCCTTGAAAGTCTAGAGCATCTTTCAACACTTAACTATTACTAGAGCCAATACACTTAGGTAAGGGACAAATTTTAGCAAATGAACGCCTGATAGTGCCTTGCTTTGTTCTGATGGTGGCGACACGAGCTACTCCGTCCTTTCCTGGATGGGTCTCCACTATTCGTCCAAGCAACCATTGGAGGGAGGCAGGTGGTCCTCCTTGACTAACACCAAATCGTTGGCCTCAAGTAGGCCTTGTTGCGTTGTCCACTTCTGCCTTTTCTGCAATTCGGATATGTATTCCAACGACCATCTGGTCCAAAAATGTCCTTTCATTTGCTGAATTCGTTGAAAGTGGGATAAGCGATTGGTTGGTACTGCCGTGTAATCTCTATCTGGTACGGATTCCATAGGTCGGCCAATCAAAAAGTGGGAGGGAGTTAAAGGTGTCAAATCAGAGGGATCACAAGATAAAGGACTCATGGGACGCGAGTTGAGGACAGCCTCAATTTCTATCAATAGCGTACTCAGATCCTCGAAAGTTAATAATGCGTTTCCCGCAACACGTTTCAAATGATATTTGACCGTTCGCACGCCCGATTCCCACAACCCACCAAAGTGTGGAGAACTAGCCGGAATGAATGACCATGAGATGCCTTTATTCTCGATAGCTTCGACAATTGAATTTGCATTATTCTGTAAAAAATTCGCTAATTTAGATAACTCATTATAAGCTCCTTGGAAATTTGTACCGTTGTCTGAGTACATTTGTGCAGGTTTTCCCCGCCGACCTACAAAGCGTTTCAAAGTAGCTAGAAAGGCTTCTGTGGTTAAAGCGCTTACCAACTCTAAATGCAGAGCCCTTGTGGCAAAGCATACAAACACCGCAATATAAGCCTTTGAAGTGCGACAGCCGCGTCCCTGTCTATCCTTGATTAGGAAGGGACCAGCGTAGTCTACGCCAGTTACGTAAAATGGAGGAGATGGTGTGACCCGCCGCTTTGGTAAATCACCCATCACCGGGCTAATTTCTTTGGGACAATTTCGAAAACAAATTACGCATTGATGGAAAACTTTACGAGCTAAACTACGTCCTGCTATGGGCCAATAATTTTCCCGAATAACAGCTAATAAGAGCTGTGGGCCAGCATGCAGTAGCCGTTTGTGTTCACGAGCGAATAAAAGCCTAGTAAAAACATGTTTTGAACACAACACAATAGGATGTTTTTTCTCATATACGTAATCTGAGTTGTTTAAACGTCCGCCGACACGAATTAAACCGTTTTCATCTAAAAATGGATGAAGCTTTATTAATTTACTTTTATTACTAACTTGCCCTTGCTTGGACAATGTTACAAGATCTTCGGAAAATGATTGACGTTGTGACAACCTAGCTAATACTAAGGACGCATGACTTATTTCATCACAACTTAAAGAACTCGATAACCTTTCATCCTCTTTTCTACGACAATTATTTATAAAACGAATACAGTAGGCAATCACTCGTTCCAATCGAGTTAAATTGGAAAACCTAGACAAATCTATAAACTCAGAGTCTAACGTAGATGTATTTGCAACAACGACCCTTTTTAATTCAGGCAACTCGTTAGATCTGGACACTACAAGAGGCTCAGGCCAGCTTTCTATGGATTCTCGAAGCCAATCTGGTCCTGACCAATACATTTCGAACTCTAACAACTCCTGAGGCTTCATGCCACGTGACACACAATCAGCTGGATTGTCCTGGGTTCGCACATGCCTCCAATTTTCAATATTTGTGAGCTCTTGGATCGAATTAACTCTATTGGCGACGAAAACTTGCAACAAATGCGGAGAGGTGTTTATCCAGCCCAAAACTATCGTCGAGTCGGTCCAAAATGTGATGCTATTAAACTCAATTTCCATGGATTGCCGAACCTTTTCACAGAGACGTGCAGCTAACACAGCTGCCATAAGCTCGAGACGCGGGACTGTCTGTATTTTTAAGGGAGCAACCTTTGATTTAGCGCACAAAAGCTTGACAAAAATATTACCATGATTATCGATCGTTCGAATATAAACACAGCTTCCCAAAGCATAAGACGACGCGTCCGAAAATACATGCAGCTCTACAAGCTTTGCATTCTTACAAATGACTTTCCTATCAATTTTCAAATTGTTCAAAAATCTTAAATCATTACGAATCTGTAAGTATCTTGTATATAATTGCTGGGAAAGGGCATCGTCCCAATCTAACTTTTCCAACCAAAGATCACGAAGAAAAATCTTTACCAAGATTACGCAACAACTAAGGAGACCAAGAGGGTCGAAAATTTGAGAGATTTCTGACAATACGATTCTTTTGGTGACCTTGGAACTTGACTGATTTCCAATCGAAAAGAAAAAATGATCTCCTTCGCCGTTCCAACGCATACCTAATGTTTTGTTGTTCTCCATGCAACCAATATCAACTACTCCATTGTTATCTGCAGATTCGATTTCCTTGAGTATAGAGGGTTCGTTTGACACCCACTTGCGAAGAAGAAAACCACCACCTTTTAGAACTTTACAAAGTTCGTTAGCTAAACTCAGGGTATCTTCAATAGTATCCCCACCAGTTATCACATCATCGACATAAAAATGATTCTTTATTGTGTTGGCAACTAACGGAGAAACTTCTTCAAATTCGATTCCCAATTGGTACAAGCACCTAATGGCGAGAAAGCCGCCGATGAAGTCCCATATGTAACAGTGTTCAACTCGTACACCTCGATATCTTCGTCTGGACTGTCACGCCACAGGATTCGTAACAGGCACCGCTGACTAGGATCGATCCACACCATACGATACATTTTCTCAATATCAGCCGCCAAAACGTACTGAAATTTACGAAAGCGCAACAAAATAGAAATAAGTTCACACTGAATGGTTGGACCAACCATCAAAACATCATTTAGCGAGCAACCACTGGTGGTTTTGGCACTGGCATTAAAAACAGTTCGAAGTTTGGTAGTAGACGAGGACAACTTCAGAACACCATGGTGAGGAAGGTAAAACGAAAACTGAGATGCACTAGGATCGGACACTTTTGTCATATGTCCTAGGCGTCGATACTCATTGACAAAATCACGATACAAATCACGATACTCATGATCGCGCTCGAATTTTCGTTCCAAGGATAGAAATTGCTTTTTGGCTGCATTATACGATTCGCCGAGCTGGCTTAGGCTGCCCTTGAGAGGCATTGAAACAACGAAACTTCCATTGGCCGCTCGAGAAAACGTATCGACGAAATGTTTCTCACAGGCAATTTCCTCGACAGATTGTGGTTTTCTAACCACGCCTTCCTCTATTTCCCAAAACCGCGATAACTGCCTATCTATTTGCTCAGTTTTAACAAAATTGCAAACTGTTGTACCCTCCAAGTTATTTAGCCGAGCCACCTTTCCTGACACTATCCATCCGAGTTTGCTTTTCTGCAAAAATGGTCCATTGGGCCCTAGTTTGATCTGGCCTACACATAACAAATCCCAGAAGGAATCGGCTCCAATCAGCATGTCAACAGGACCACTTGTGCAGAATGTAGGATCTGCCAACGAAACATTTGCAGGAATATTCAAATTTTGACTGTCGACCTTGAAATTGGGCAACGACCCTGTAACGAGAGGGATAACAAAACAGGATAATTCCAACGAAAAGTCATTTATACGGATTGGACCTTAACATTCACCTTTCCAGAAACCGCAGACTCAGTTTCGTTCAAACCACAAATGTTGATATTTACTTTAGTTACAGGTATTGAAAGCTTGTCCACAAATGACCTTGACAAAAAACTACTCTGCGATCCAGGATCCAATAAAGCGCGTGCTGTAAACCATTTATTGTTTTTTCCCAAGACCCTAACTACCGCAGTTGACAAAAGAACACCATCATTTTTATGCGAAGCGAAGCTACAATTCGCAGTTTCCTCCTTTTCTGTAGTAGAGGAACTGGTAGCAGCGGCAGCAGCGGTCGTTTCCGCCGCCTTTTCTCGATTTATGTGCAACAACACGTTGTGCCGAAACTTACAAATTTTACAAACAATCGAACGACAATCTTTTAAAACATGCCCAGCTCTCAAACAATTCAAACACAAACGCAATTTTTTCGCTTCCTGAATTCTCTCATTCACACTTAAATTTACAAAATCTGGACAGTTTTGTATGAAATGCTCCTTTTTACAATAGCAACACGATTGCCCTGTCGCAACAAAAGACCTTGAACTACCTTGCTTATTATATTTGGATTCCATCCCTGCTCTAAATTTCGAATTTGACTTTTTGTCAGGCTTTGCCTGCTCTAACGATTCCAAAAAATTGGCTCGATCTCGAAGAAATTTAGTCAAATCTGGCAACAACGATTTTTTGGCCTCACCTTTGGCACTTTCCCACTTTTTAGTGACATGGAATCTAATTTAGACGAAACGAGATAAATTAACAAGGTGTCCCAATTAGTGGTGTCTTCCCCAAGAGCATTTAAAGATCTTATATGCTTATCCACATTATCTGCTAGGTCTCTTAGCACCGAAGGAGATTCTTCCTGAATCTTGTCTAACGTGAATAAACCGCGAAGATGATTTTGAATCAAAATTTTGTTATTATTATAACGAGCGTAAATTAAGTTCCACGCAGCCTCGTAATTTGTCCCTGTAAACCCTAAACTCGCGATAACTTCCAACACTTTAGGCGCCAAAAATGATCTTAAATAATGAAATTTTTGTATGTCCGATAAGGCATCATTTTCGTGAATTAACGATACATAGGTATCACGGAACTCTAACCACTTACCGTATTCACCTGTGAAAGTGCGAATCTCGATGGTCGGAAGTTTAACTCGTTTAAAATCCTGAACCAAAGTTTGCGAAATATTTGTATTTTGCGTGGCTACCGAACCCGCAACGGACCTACCACTACTTTTCACGTTATCTACGCTATCATCCGCAAGAAATGATTTAGCCTTAGCCATCAACCTAAAATAAGCATTATTAAAAATTTCGCGTTCCTCATACTGCGAATTTACCGAAGCAAGATCACAAGACTCTTCGATTTCGTTTTGCACTAACTCAAATTCATCAAAAACCTGTGAAAACCGTTCATAACGCGTTTCCAAGTCTAAAAATGCAACGCGATCCGACACGATTTTGTCTGGATACGTGTTTTCCAAATTTGCGACGTATTTTTCAAAATGAGTGACCTTTGCCTTAAATGATCCACGTTTTCGAATAAGGACATCCATGTTTTCGACTATTACACTCATAATGTTTACGAAAATCAAAAATCAGGCTTACGAAACGATCAAAATTATCAATAGGCGAAATAATATCAACAAATATTTACCCCGAAATGAGTAAAACGGCGAAAAACAACTAATTACACTATTGATAGTAACGAAAATTGCCAACAACTACAAGGAAGCAGAAAAAGGAAATAATTTGGAATGGACCCACCTTATTTACCGACCGAACGCCGGCACAACGATCCAAAATGGCGGCAGGCAGCTCTTGCAGCACAGCAAGTCGACGACGAAATTCCAATCCAATTATCCGGACGAAGTGACCAAAATGTAGTTTCCCCTTGGCTTAAGGAAACAAATAAACCATCGACGAAATAAAATGTTCAGTGGACTGTATACTTTCGGTTTATTGTCACTTGAAATTACAAACTTTGAGACAACTAACTAAACAAAAATTATTGTCTCCTTATAAAACATCGAGTCGAAATTAAAAAAAACAAAGACGACGCGTTTGGTCTAACGTCTTGTGCTCGACTCCTGCCTGGGGGCCTCGCTCTTCTTCGGCTACCGCCGCAATGCGACGATGTATGGAGACGGCGCAGTTGCCACGTATAGCACAAATAATTAGAGACTGCGCAGTTGCCACGTATAGCACAAATAATTATTCACAATCATATTGATCCATCATTTCGTCACTCATTTTTTTTATTCGTTAAAAAACTGAATTTCTAAAAAACAAAAACTTGAAATTTATTTGCAAACATTTCAATTAATAATTTAAAAAAAACAGCATTTAAAAAAAGAAGTAGAGGTTTCCGAATAATTCAAAAACTATGTTTCTTTTGCCTAAATTATAAAATTTAAATTATTAAGTAAAATATAGCAGAATTGATATTAATTAACCCATTAAAAAGCTTTCAGTCTGCGTCTACAGCTGTTTGCGGGATGTTTGATATTTATTAATTTATGTTAATATCAATTTGGATATTTTTACTATAAAATATGTTTCTTGGTTTCTTGTTTTCGCAGACATTTTGTTATTTGTCGGTTTTTACAACGGTGACATTTTTTCTATTATTTCTGGTTATTCTTAAAAAAATATTATTTTTTCGCTGACCATATACTGACCATACCAACAGGTACGGTAGGTTATTAAGATCGGCAAAAAAGTGTAAAACTTGGAAAATAAGTTCGTCATAATAATGCTTTTATTTATTCACTATTCTAATAAACAGTATGCATTCCTTCGGAAACTCTCTATTTATTTATTTGGTAATGCTAAAACACTCTATTTGAAAGTCGATTAGAGAAAACAGTATGATTCATTGGCAAGCGATGTAAATATTTGTGATCAGGTAAAATTGTGATGTAAGAGGAGGCTTAGCTCGGCAGGCGGCAAGTCAGTCAGTTGTTGATAGGCCGGCTGTGTAGTGTTGTGTTTTGTCACAGAGCTGATATTTGGAAGTAGCGAGTCTTTTGACTATGGAAGTAGAAAACCTCTTGTGACGTCGTTGCTTCGAGGATGGTCTTGAGAGTTTGAGGTCTCTCTTGCTTCTCAATTGACACCGCTGGGGCGTTGTGTTAGGACCCCAATTAGCCCCATCGATTGGGGTGCGAATCTGTTTAGCGGCAGATTTGCATCCGGGGGAAGCCCCTATACTATTTCAGGTGACACTAGCTAGTTGTTGAAGATTATTAACCAATAGATCCGAATAATATTTGAATTAGATGGAAGATATGGAATGGGATATATTGAATAGAATGTCAGTGATGTCAGTGGCTAGGGGGCGGAGTACCCCCGGGTGAGCCTTACTATTTAACTATCAATTTTATCCAGATCAGTAAATGTTTGTTTTGTTATTTTCATGTACAATGAGAGAGTGCTTGCCAATGACCAACTAAATGGATATTTGAGGTGAATTTGCATTGTGAGACCCAGTTGAGTAAGCCCCAAAAATTACGATTTTACAAAAGATTTTTTAATTTCACTCAAAATGAGTTATTTGGGTCATAAATGACCTAAATACAAAATATTTTCATGGTGTCTGTCTGTTTGTCCGTCTACACGATAACTCAAAAACCGCTAAACCGATTTTAACCAAATTTGGCACAAAAATACTGTGGCACCCCAGAATCTGGACATTAGTTTGTGGTGGGGGTGGGGAGTTGGTAAGGGGGTATGGGAGGGGGTTAAAATTTTTAAAAAATCGTAACTCCAAAATTACAGTAGCTAGCGAAACGCGGTTTTCAATTTAAGATTAGGAATAATATTTGCAACAAAATTTGTAATAACATCAAAATCAGCCAAAGTCGCAGTTTTTGAGATAAAAAAAATTGAAAAAATTCCTTTACTTTGAAACTAAAAGAACTGCCTACCAACTTTTTATTAACATATTTTAGTATGGACGGCTATACGTGCCTCCCGGCGCCAATTTTTTTTTAATTAATTGGATGTTATATTTTTTTCCAATAAAATTAATACTTATTTTTATTTTCAGATATAACCTTGATATTGGAAACCGAGCTGCTGTGTTGAGGTAAGTGAGAAAATTTAATTATGTTTTATTTTTATGTAATTGGTAAAGGTACTTAGCTTAATAATTTATTATAAAATTTTCCGCTATCAAATGATGAAGTGTTTACTATTACTTATAGTATTTTTTTTCTGTCGAGTAATGCAAAAAAGGACATTTTTTAAATTATTTTATAGTAAATTGTTGTGTTTATTAACTATCTATAGTATTTAATTAAAGTAAGATGAAAAGGTTAAAAATTAATGATTAGATTGTAGATTATAGATTGCATCGGAGGGGGGTAATTAATCACCGCGACCTTATAAATCTATTGTGTCCCCCCCTCTTGAGTCAAAACTCATTATACAATAGCAAGACTTTGACAAAAGCTAGTATCTGAGACGGTTTTATAGAGGTAGTTGGCCTATGTATTTGGGCCAAGTTTTAGAGGATATGGTAGATGAGTTCAGCACCGACATGGCTGCTTGGCTGTCAGTGATTATTGCCGTTTTCCGCCCATAAGGCCAAATGGCAAGTAACTCTGCCTGGAAAACACTTGAACTATCCGGAAGCCGGTACGATCTTGCGATGTCAAGACCCTTCGAGAACTACCCCGAACCTAAACCTGAATCCATAGGGAAGCAAAGTGTTCACTGTATTTTTCTTATTTATGACTGTTTTGATGAATGATGATCTTTTCTAACTCATAGTCTTTAAGAAAATGTCGTACGGACGTTCTTTACTTGGACTAAAGGGAGTGTTTAGAACGCACACTCTGTTATATAGCTCTCAAAGGTTCAATGAACCACTCCCAATCGTACCACAAAAATAGTTAAAATTGTAGTAGCGTCTGTTCCTCCGGTAGGTACACGCGTAGACTGCTTTAGAAAATTCAAAAAGCCCCATTACCCGTGCATTAGACCATTGAATAATGCATGTTTTCGACGAGGACTAATTAATAGTTGTCAAAACGATACGGTGTTTAAGCTTGTGTCGGCATGGGGTGTGTGAAAATCGCATTTATTATGTTCCAATTGAGAGAGTAACAGTTGTTCTGAGGATCTTTTTAATTTAGTGTATTTTTTCTCGATAGTAAGCAAGAAGTGAACCTCTATCTGTTAACAATTAATTACATTAATGGCAAAGTAAGCACAGTAAAGCCTAGGTATTAAAAAGGCATAGACAAATTGGCTGTTAGAAAGACGATATTCAAAACTTGTAAATTTAGATGAAGAAAATAAAAAGTAAAAAAAATAACTTGAATTTATTGATACATTTTGCTAGATCTTTTTAATAATTTGTTTTGGCATCAGTACCAATACTAATCACTAATCCAAAAATCCGCTAACACAGTATTGCCAACTATTTAAATCATTAGATAGAAGAAATTTCGTTGTGCTCACTAGAATTCGTTTAGGACACACGAAACTTACCCATGAACACTTTCTTAGGACAGTCCCTTTGTGAAACATGTAATCTGCTAATATCTGTCAAACACATTATTAAGTGACGCTAAAAGACTCTACAGTCGATGCGTCTTTAACACATACCTCTCTCTCTCTCTCTCAGTTCGATATAAATTTCATAAGACATAGCATTTTTTATTTATTTAACACACACCAAAGCTGCACGTGTTATTATGTTTATGTTTACTTTTCAATAATAATCATTCTGGATACGTATATATGCAATAATCAGTATCAACCATATTATTAATCGGAAATAATTCGGTCGGCCATAGGTTTGTTCCAACATATTCCAGCAGAGAACCGTTCTTGGTACGGCTACGCTTATTGCCAGTGAAGAAAATGCGTTCCAACAACGAGAAAATCGTTTAGGGAATGATACATTTATTTTGATACTGGTGATTTCGATACCACCCGACCAACCTAATGCCTAAAAGAAGAATTAAAAGATCTGACCTGCTTATTAAGACAGTGTGTCAGCTGATTAATATTTTTCTCTTTTTCTTTGGCTATTTTTTGTTATGTGTTATGTAATTTGCTGATTCCTCAAGTTTTATTTGTTTCCTTTTTTTATAAAATATATTGAGATGACCCGCCTATTTAAAAATAGTATCTTATACATATAGGTACGTATTTCTATTATACAGACATATTTCTTTATATTTAAGACATTCAGTTTTTAAGACACTTTGTATACATAAAAAATTATTGATTTTTAAAATATTGTTCACAAAACCAGAGAGAGGAAAATCAGACAACGAACAGAGATAATAGATGTTAGGTAATAGCTTTTAGACTACCATTTACTCATCTAAGAATTATATGATATAACGTGTATGTATTTAATGGAGTCGATTTAGGCTGTGAATAATTTCAGTTTAAAAGTAATCTAAATACAATCGTTTACTGTCCATTCGTGCCGATGCTTGGGGTTCGGTGTGAGAATAAGGGCCTTGTTGAATGTACTAACATTTTTCGACCGTGCATGGGCGAATATCTTAGCTCGCAAAAGGGCAACCAAAAAGCAATAAATAGAATAACTTATAAACTAAAGATATTGGTACCAAACCTTCAACTTTAGCTTCTAGTTCCGCAACCAGGGCATTAGTACCTACGGGTGGGGACCTGTTAAACTACCAAAACCTCTTTCGTTTTGAATGTAATAAATGTGGCATGTTTTGATTGTATGAAAATACTAAGCTTAGTATGAGTACAGTTTTTGTATTATTATTATTTCTCTTTGGAATAGCGATCAAGGTTTTCTCTGGCGTGCTCTTTTACTTGTGAATTCAAGGCAGAGTACGGCACTCCTTTCATTTCATTTAATAAAATAAGTAGGGCTATTTACAAATTTGGTGTTAGATTTACAAAACCTATTCTCTTCAAATTTTCCAAAGTATTGCTTGTGTCGGGCGCATCCGAGGTAATCACAATAAAAATATTTTTAACACAACGCAGGTTCCTTTATTTAATTTAAATTGTTTGTTATACAGTTGGCCAAAATATTACCTCTTCAACTTTGTTGAAAGACCGTGGGTTGTTATACTACAATATGTATAAAAACAACAAATACCGCTTGTATGCATATTTTAAAACATTATTTTTTATATTTTTTTACTAAATATTATGGTGAGTGACGAAGAGGGCAGTGATATCGAGTATGTTTATACCACTGAAGATGTTCTGAAACTTTTGTTAAATAAAGCAGATTTCGTAATTAAAAAAATAAATAAATTGAATTATGCTTAAATAAATCCAATAAAATACAAAATTTTAAATTTATACCGAAAATATATATCTAACCTATATTAATAATTAAAAATTAGGTTCTGATTTTGATTCTGAAATCAGTTCAAACCCTGTTCCAACAAGCATTTAATTTTAGTATAGTAACAGAACTGTCCCAATTACCGTTCTAGAACGTTACGAGTTTCTTTATTGGAACAAACCTCGTATGACAACATTGCCGAACAACGTGGTTCCAATTCATTCAATTCGCAAACTTAATTTAATCGAACGAACGGGGTTCCCACCGCGTCGCCGAGCCCCTCAGTCTAGACGTCTCGTCAGCTTCCACTGTGTTTAGAAATTGGACACCGACCGGTATTTGTCGAATTTCTAGTTTTGATTCGATTGTCGTGCAAAACTTGAACGTATACAAGCTGAGACAGACGGAGATTGAATTGCCAAAACCGATTTAAAAGACATTAAATTAAGTTGTTCACATAATTTGACATTTACGATTCGTTTGTTGGGTTAATGGGATTGTCGATAAACTAAAACATGAATAAAATTATTTTGTATAGGTTTTCTTCTTTCTTTAGTAACTGTATGGGTACAATTTTCCTGTGTTTTACAGGGTTCCTCGTTTTAATGCCGTTCTCGTTAAGATGCCATACACAGATTTTCCCTAGCCTTTGAGATGACCTGCCTTTTCAAAAATAGATATATTTCTTTAAATTCAAAACATTCAGTTTTAAGACACTCTGTATACATAAATAAAATTATTGACTTTTAAAATATTATTTACAAAACCAGGGAGAGGGAAATCGGACGATGAACAGACCAGAGATAATAGGTGTTAAGAAGGTAAAGTAAATGTTTTCTAATTATTTAACTAATGTTAACTAGAGCATATATTTCATTTTCCTGTTGTAATATACTGTATTAGAGTTTTTCCTTATTTATTATAACATGTGTATGCATTTAATGGAATGGATTTATTTTGTAAATAATTTCAGTTTAAAAGTAATCTAAATACAATTGTTTACTGTCCATTCGTGCCGATGTTTTTGGTTCAATGTGACAATAAGGACCTTGTTGAGTGTACTAATATTTATCCACCGTGCATGGGCGAATAGGGAGCTCGCAAAAGGAAAACTAAAAACAATAAATATAATCTAACGATATTTACACCAATTACCCAACTTTAGCTTCTAGCCTCGAAACCAGAGCATTAGTATCTGCGGTAGGCTACCTGCTAAATAACAACCCTTCAGTTTTGAATGATATAAATGTGGCATGTTTTGAATGTATGATACTACAAACCTTGGTATGAGGACAGTTTCTATATTATTAATTCTCTTTTATTAAAGTTCAGAACAGCATAGTTGGATTCTCTGGAATAGTGATCAGAGTTTTTTGTCTGCCGATGCCGGGCTCTTTTACTTGTGAATTCCAGGCAGAGTACGGCACTCCTTTCATTTCATTTAATAAATAAGTATAGGGCTATTTACAAATTTAGCGTTTGATTTGCATAACCTATTCTCCTCAAATTTCCCAAAATATTGCTTCTATCGGGCGCATCCGACGTAATCACAATAAAAAATGTTTTTAACACAAAGTAGGTTCCCTTATTTCATTTAAATTGTTTGCTATACAGTTGGCCAAAATATTACCTCTTCAACTTTATTGAACGAACTTGGTTTGTTATACTACACCTTCTTACTTACTTAAATACAGGGCGAATTTGCATTATTATTTCAGTTCAGTTTAAGTAAAACGGACCGTTTACCACACACCAGTTTTACTTGATTCGTTTTTGAATGAACAGGTAAG